AGCACTGGTATATAGTACAAGACCATACATTTGGTAGAGGATAACGAGATAGTTTATTCTGGGCATGTACCGTTTTATAATTTGAAAGCACTAAACTGAAAAAAAGTTATTAAGTGACCTCTAGGAGAGCCTACAAGAAGGCAAATTTCAAGCTGTCCAGTCATCCGTGTGGGCACAAGGAGGGTTTAGCAGCTCTGGAGATCCACTCCACACATACTGAGACAGTGGCTACACGGTCAGATGGAATGAGCCGGGGTTTGGAGATGTGGTTTGAATCCAGTTTCCACCACTACCAGTATACCATGGATGTTTTGACTGCTTTACTACAAAAGTATATAATCACAGGCAAGATATATTAATGTTTTGTGTATTTAAATTTTTTACAGTATGGAATTATATGTATTGTTCTAATCTTTTTTCATTCAACATTATGATTTGGAGATTTACCTATGTCCATGTGTATAGATTTAACTCATTTCTTTTTATTTGTGTAGGGCATTCCATTGTGTGAATTAAAAAAAAAAAACTCTATCTGTCCCAAATAGGGCCCATCATTTATTCTTTCCCCTAACTGCCCACTTTGCACAGGTGTCCAAGGAGACATGTACAAGGATGCAAACTACTGCATTGTTGAAATAGTGAAAACAATCAATCAACTGTCTCTCTTGGTTGAGATAATGGGATTTAATCAGGCAAGAAGTTAGCATCTATTTGATGCATTTTTTTAATCGAAGTACAGCCAATTACAAGGTGCATAATGTCCCAGTGATGCATATACATACATATATTCATTTTCATATTTTTTCCATTAAAGGTTACTAATTGATGCATATTGATGCCTATCATACTATTTTCTGTAATTCTTTTGTACGTTTGAGTTGTTTACAATAAAAAACACCTTTCTTCTCCCAAGAATGAATGATGCTCTGCTTTTGGTAATACGGCATTGAAGAGATGACAGGATAGGAAGGAATCACTAGGCCAAAATCTCAGGGACAATTAGAACACAGAAAGGTAAATGGAGAGCTGAAATCAACTTGCTTTTGAGGGCACTTGCCAGTCCTAGGCAATTTGAACTAAGGTTTCCCAAGCCTCCTCAGAAAAGCCTCAGGAAATCAGGTCTACAAGTGAAGGCTAACCTAGAATGTAGACTTCTTGTGGTCCTTTCAATCTAAACATTCTAGAATTTTATAAGGCTTGCGTACGTATTCCTTTGATGATGCTGATTCAAGTGATTCAAGGACAGCTCCAGTGCCACGAGAAAACCTGTTTTATACCAAGCACCTAGAAAATCTTGCTTTAAATCACAATATTAAGGTTACAAAGGAGAAGTTTGATATTCTTGGAGTCAATACCGAGAGACATGAGTGGTCCAGCACAATTGGTTCAAAGGAGAAAAAATAAACTAAGAGACTGGATCTGACAGAAGCAGCACCTTCCTTTCTCTGTTAAGAAGAGAGGAAGGAAATCCTGTGATACATCTGTTTCTCATGGATTAGATTCAATGCGAATGGAAGAATGCTGGGCTTTTATCTTTGAAAAGTTGACCAATATTAAAAAGTAAATCAAAATTGAAAAATCTCCACCCTGTGTTTTGAATTCTCTAAAGCAGGAAAAATAGTATCAAAGCAGAAACTTCCTTTAATGTGTCCTATGAGCAACACAGATATAAAACTGGAGGCCTAAATTAGGAGCCTGTATCTCACTTAGGGGAGTTCAGATAAGTCCTTGCTCAAAAATGGCCTCCTTAACATACAAGAGCCTTAAATTAAGGCCTCCAAATGATGGGTTGTGAGCCACCATGCCAGGTGATTAAAAAAAAAAATCAGAGTCTATAAAAACCCAAGCATAATTGGAGGGTTTAAAGACCATGACAACCTAGCTTATAACTCATGATCTCTTAGCCTGTGAAGGTAAATCATACTTTAAAAAAAAAAAGAATATATTTTAAGTTCTGAAGAAGACTAAAACATACATTAAAAAACCTGAGACTATTAGTACCAACTTGGATTGTCAAGTTCTTTAAACTTGTTCTGTCAACGAAAGACAGAAATTTTAAATTTTAGTTCCCACTCAAAAAGTCCCACTAAAAGTCAACTTGGTGTGATGTGCAAGCAGATATTAGACACTGAGAACATGTGTCCTATAACAAAACTGAAAGGCTCCAGACAATATCAAATGTATTATGTAAATATCTTTTAAGAATTGGTTGTATATTTTCCTACTAAAATAATCAGTACAACCTATCGGTATTAAATATTTCCCTTGACTAAAATTTGATCATAATTTATTAACATAGATGTCAAAATGTCTATTTTTATCCTGAAGCAACATCACCAAATACAGAGGTTACCTAGTCCCCCTTCCTCCCAATTCCCCACAGCCCCAGCCTCCCCTCCTTCCGTCTCCGCATATACACACATGCACACACAGAACTATCAAATTTAAATTCTTCCACAATTCTCTGGAGTCATAATATGTATCAAGGCAGCAATTTAGAGCAGTTAAAAATATTAATTTTAAAAGGCCAAGAAATCCAGCAAAGTTTGAGGCTCTCAAATACCATGATGAAATTAGAAATGGCAATGAATTTTGGCTCATAGTCTCTGTAAGAAGATGTTAGGGATTAAAAAGATTGACGTTTTACTCTAGTGGGTCCAAACCAGGGGAGAAGGTCTCAGAGGGAATCCTGAAATGACCTATGAAGAAATTCACTCAAGTACTGATAGATGAATGTTAGAGGAATGTCTGAGTCAATTGTTTCTTACCAGTAGAGTCTAGTCTGTTAATACCATAAACGGCGTGGCTGTGAAACATCCAGAAGTGTCCGTTGTTGCAGGAAAGGAGGCAGGAACAACATGGAACAATCACATGATAACCTACAATGTTCCCACTAAAAAAGAAAGTAAGTATTATCAGACACAAGGTAATATCTGGCCATGTAAGCATTTTTACATACTAATATGAATAGATAGACCACATAAAGACCTCAGTTCCTCCTAACAACCTCCACTGCTGGGATTTTGGGGATGGGAATCATTCTGATAACGGTTACAGCGCAAGCGAGAAAATAGTCTTTAAGTTCAGTGAAATAGTAATAACACATTCTCTATCTCTTTGCTAGTATTGTTTTATGCATTCTCCCTTCAGAAGCTAGCTTCCACATGCCATAAGGTTGTGATTGTTCCGTAAAGCACTCAAAATTGACAGTCTGTAGAGACAAAATAGATTAAATAAACTCAGACTTGTGGGTAACAGGTTTTTGCCATCCCAGGACTGTGGCAAGTTGGGTTCTTATATGTCCTAGTTCTATGCCAGCACCTAAAAACTGTTTCAACAGATGGAGGAGAAGGAAGACAGCAGGGGCTCATGAAAACCCAACAAGCTGGCTGCTCTAATTTTAGTTTCAGTGTTTTTGAAGGAATTCAGAAATGAAGCAAAAACACAGCTTCTAGAGAAAGTTGCAAAAGTTTTTACTGTCTTTAAGATTATCCTTCTGATTAGAAATACCTCATTCTTCCACAGATTTCCTTCTCCCCCGCCCCAAATCTGGTCACTATTAAATAGAGTGAATATACAGGGAATATTTTAGCTAGTAGGTTTTTTTTTAATAATAACATGAAATGCTTAAACTTTGAATTGTAAAAATTCTTATTGTAGCTTGTTCTTACCCTATGAGATGTGAGAGTCAGTCATTTTTGTGAAAGTTCTACAAAAAAATACTATAAAAGGTACCAGCCCACCTAAAACATGTCTTCTAATCATAATCTGCTTGAAAGGCAAATAAATGAAAGCAAAAGTTGTTCTTAGATTAGGACTGGCAGTTATTCATAAGACTATATTGCAAGAGTAAATCCTACAGCTTTAATTACCACCCATATTCATTCATTCATTCACTCATTCAACTAATGTTTACAGAGCATCTACTATGTGCCAGGTACCATTCTAGCTGCTAGGAATATAGCAGTGAACAAAGTCCTTGTTTTTATGGAGCTAACATTCTAGTAGGGACACATCAGATCATTTTGCTCCCTTGTTGAAACCCCCTCAATGGTTTCCCATTGGCCAAAAATGAAAACCCCAAAATCCTTCGTACCAACATCTGTGCTATCTAAAACGTGGCTATTGAGCACTTGAAATCTGGCCAGCCTGAATTGAAATGTGCTGGAAGTATAAAAAAATACACTAGATTTCAAAGCCTAAGATTAAAAAATAGAATGTAAAATATTTCATTAATGAATTTTTTGGTGGTTACATGTTGAAATGGTAATATTTGGGGATATATTAGATTAAATAAAATATACAATTAAAATTAATTTCACCTGTTTCTTTTTACTTTGTAAAAGGTGGTTACTAGAAATATTTGAATTATTTCTGTAGCTTGCACGTTTCTATTGGACAGCGCTGCACTGGATTCTCTGGGTTTCTGCCTACATCTTTAATCTACTCACACTACTCTCGCCCGATACTCACAATGTCTCAGCCACACTGGCCATCATCTTTTATTCCTTGGACAAGTTCTTCCTGCCTTGGGTTTTCTGCCCTTGCTGTTCCCTCTACCTAGAACAGTCTTCCTTTGGCTCCTTAACTTATCCTTTAGGATTGTTGAATATCCAATATTACCTTTTCATGAGAAGGCTTCCCTGACCATGCTGTCTAAAACAGTTCTCACCCACTCTCATCTTCTATTATTCTCTATCATTTATTATTATTATTTCCTTTGGAGTTCTTTCCACCCTATTCAAGATCTTATTTATTTAAATATCTTATTGATTGATTGCTTGTTCTCCTACTAGAATATAATGCCCAAAGGCCTGTGACTTTATTTGGTTATTGCTGGATTTCCAGCCCCTATAACAATGACTGGCACATGGTAGGACCTCAGTATATAATGTGAATGAGTGAATGAGAGAAATTAAATAGTCATGACCACAAAAGAGGAGTTTGCTAGTTTAAATTAAGATTATAATTTCTAATCTAAACTCCATTTAAGTAAAAAAACCTCAACTTTCTTTTCTCTAAAATAGGACTAACAACACTCGTCTGTCTGCCTCTCAAAAGATAATAGTAATAGCCTTCACCTGCATTGTAACTTACAGTTTATCAAGCCTCTTAATAGTCATAATTCACTTGACCTTCACAACAACTCTATACGGTAAACACAAAAGACATTTTAATTTCTATTAAGAAGATACCTATCTATCTTAAGAAGATGCCTATCTTCTTAAAACATAAATTAAATAAGGAAATAGGTTTAGAGATTTAGGGAGTTTACTCAAGATAACATAGAGAATAAGGGTAGGGCCAGGGCTCAAACCTGATTTTTATGACTGTAAATCAAAGTGGTTTTTTTTTCCCCCTAAACTACATTGCCTTTCTCTGAAAGTTAAAGCAGATATTTGTTAAAGCACTTTGAAAAATTGTAAAATCATATACAAATGTGAAGTGTCACAAGAGCCTTTTAAAAAACAGTTCTAAGTAACAAATGGTTTTTCAAAGGCTCATTGCCTGGGTTATAACCAGTGCTCGACACAGCCCACTGAACCCTTCTCTGTGCTTCCGTGTCAACATCCATCTCTCAAACCCAGGGTTATTTGGAATAGTGTCACAAATTACCATTTTAAACATGCGATATCCTTTAGTTTACATTTGCAGATTTCCGTGAAATAGCATCTTCCAATGAAGTCCACTGCACTGGAGAGGGAAAAGTGTAGAGGCAGTCAAAGGCACTTTAAAAAAATGTTGTAAAATACACATAACATAAAATTTACTAATTTCATCCTTTTTAAGTGGACAGTTCATAAGTGCTAAGTGTATGCACATTTCCAAGCAATGAATCTCCAGGCCTTTTTCATCTTGCAAAATTGAAACTCTATACCCATTGAAGAACAACTCCCCATTTCCCTCTTCCCCCAGCCTCTGGCAACCACCTCTCTACTTTCTGTTTCTATGACTTTGACTAGTTTAAATACTACAGATTTGTGGAATCATACAGTATTTGTCTTTTTGTAACTGGCTTATTTCACTTACTATAACACCCTCAAGTCCCATCCATGTTGTAGCATGTGACAGGTAGGATATCCTTCCTTGTTAAGGCTGAATAATATTTCATTGTATGCATATACCATATTTTGTTTATTCATTTATCTGTTGATGGGAATTTGGGTTGCTTCTACCTCTTGGTTATTGTGAATAATGCTGCTAAGACCATGAGTGTGCGAACATTTCTTCTAGATCGTGCATTAAAATTTTTGTACATATGCCCCAAAGTGGGATTGCTGGATCATATGGTAATTCAATTTTCTCTTTTTTGAGGAACTGCCATGCTATTTTCCATAACAGTGGTACCATTTTACATTCCCACCAACGGTGCACAAGGGCTCCAATTTTTCCATATCCTTGCCACAAAATGTGCTTTTGATTGTGATTTAGCATGAATTTTGTAGA